TACCTGCGGCACCCTGTGGACACCTATTGTTGTCCATGGTGCTAATTGATGTCTTTTCATGGGTTTTGATGAAATTCACGTCCACTCACGACAGTTCACGTCCATTTTGAAGGGTGCACGGTTATTCACGTCCATGAACCTTAGCCTTTCTTGCTATAGAAAAAATGCCTATATTTGAGTGTTCTGCACACCCCAGAAAACATAATGTATAGGCAGTATAGCAAGAAGCTGGTCCTTGATGGCCGCCCCCCAAAAGTCCAATCCCATTGACCAAAATACCAAAGCACATGAAAACCCAGACCACCAGCACCCCCCTTCCCGAGTCCATTCTCCGTCTTCTCACTCTATAACTTTTCCCCTTCAAGCTCTGGCCCAGCTGATTTGGATCTGGCAAAGATACCGCTGGAGCGTTCTTTTGGCAATCTGTTTGGGCGATACGCAACGACTTAACGTTGCGTATCGCCCTATGAAATCTTCGTCCATGGAACACGACGTTGCCGCTGGATTCCACGTGTATGGACTCCTTCTGGATTGATGGCGCATGCGATGTGCCACTTCGTGGACAGCATGAAGCTTGGGAAAGAGAGCAAACAGAACTTCTCCAGCCTGAAATGCTGCGTCTGCCTGATAGCAATAGGCAGCAATGAACTGGTACAAGCAATCGCTTAAATGGCCAGCCACTCCAGAATCTATAAAAACATCTTGCTCATAGATGCCTTTCATGAAGCGGTTCACGCACTGTGTTCCGTGAGCCTCAGTGCATGCATGTATGCGAAGGAACGAGAACACAAAACCTCAACAGTCGAAGAAAGACTGAGACCAAAGAGTTCACTACAAGCAAACCCGCACCATTGCTGGAAAGAAACAAAAAATCTTCAGACGTTCATCGCCCCGAATCTGCTCGGCATGCTCACGACAAAAATCTTCAAGGTACCGCATGAAGTTGGATGTGACAGCGGCTTTGTTCCAACTTCCAGTGCGCTCTTTTGAACTTTGTCCGAAGGTCTCCTTGTCGATTCTGCGGATCACAGGATCTATTTTCTCACGTTTGCAGAAGTCTTTGTAGCCAGCCGCGATGACTGCCACCCGCTTGTCGATGTTGGACTCGGGGATGATCTTTTGCAGCATGAGAACTCCAGACGCGATCCAGGACTTGCCTATTCCAAGATGAATGGCATGCCAAATGTCCATCTGGTGGAATTTGGACTTTCCATTCGGTCCAGCGTCGTGTAGTAGGAGCCTTGTCAAAGGAGACTCTCGCGACCATGGGGTCTGGATCTCCTCAACATATGAAGCGTCCATAGCCTCATCAGCAGCTTTCCTCATTGGGATCGATCATTGACGACCGGGAATTAAACGCTTCAACACATTTAAGTCTGGCCAGTCTTTGACCCCAAGGTAAACATGCACATATTGAAACACGCAAGGGGCTCTTGTTCATCTTTCTATACTTTCCATTGGTTCGGGTGTTCCAGTGCTTCCGACAATTTACAAAAGGAAGCTCAAAGAAGAATGTTTTTGTTCAAGGATGAAGTCACAAATCCTCCCAGTCAATTCCCTGACCGCAGATGCATAAGTGGCACATGCCAGCCCCTTCTGCTCCGCAATCCTTCTCCCCAGCTCCTTTTGGCGCCCTTCTGTAGGACCGATCAAGGTTTGCAGATTCAACCTTTGGTGTCCCAAGACTGAAAGTCAGCATGTATATACGGCTCGATGAGGTTATGCGATGCCCACAAAATCCTTTCTTCACAAAACGTGTCTATATATTTGTGCAACGTGACTGGATACCAGCTTGAACCGATATGAATATATACTGTTTATATATATAGGGTTGGTTCAACGTCCTGAAACTGAATAGCTGGTGTGTCAAATCCCAAAAATGCTAAAACTGAAATCGACCAGGGAACAAGGTAGCTCCAGTCCCCCTTGTTTCCAAGTATAATTGTGTAGATGACCTCACCTCCCCCAAGCTGAACTCCATGTCTTTGCGCTTGAGCGAGGTCTTCGGTGACAAACTCAAAAATTGCATGCCACAGCCTCCTGTCTTCGCTGTAGAGCTCCTGACCGGGGCCAACGTGTATAAGCATTTGGGAACCCATCCATGCTATATACTCTATAACCATTGTATAACCCTTCTTCCAATATGAAAATTGGATCTTGAAACGGAAGCCACCCCTCTCCTTGGGACAAGCGCAAATCAAAATTCGAGTTTGAAGGGCATTCTTCAAAAAAATTGAGTGGAATCCCCTCGTCTAAGGCCCTGAGGTTCTGCTCCATCTCCTTTGCCCTTTTCGAAGACCCAAATCCAATGGCCCCTTGAAAACTGAAAACAAATATGCCTCCTTTCTTGAAGCTGACTCCTTCATCTCCGTGAAGAAAAAGTGGCAGACACTGTGACAAGTCCTTGTGGCCATCGTCTACTTGCTCCCACAATTGGAAATTTGGGTATGCAGCCCTGTACTTCTTCCAAAAGTTTAGCAGCATCGGTTTGGCCTCCTTGAGGCTATAACCTCCCAGCAGGTGGCACAAGTCATTCATCTTGTGCATTGTGCGGAGAAAATCTGAAGGTTTGATCCATGGAAATCCCTTCAAGGGTGCCCTCTCTTCTGTAGTCACCGGGACCGGGTAGTAAAACTTGTAGTCCTCAAAGACTTGTTGAACTCCATCTTCCTTGGTTTGAGGCCGAGTTGAAGTTATTGCAAAATGACGAGTAAACCTTCTAAAGGGACATGAACGCAAACCCAAAGTGTTTATAATTAAGTTGTTCGATTCCCAGAATCTGATTTTTTTTGGGTGGATCGTCGCGAGGGCAGAGAGAACCGGACAGACCCCGCAACCAAAGGCTGCCGCATCTCGCATGTCCGCAGCAGCATCAGCGATAATGTCGCGGCACTTCTCCTAAGATGGTTGGCCATGGGCTTTGCGACCACCAAACTATATAATCAATATATAGGCATGCGCAGACCTATCATGAAGAATGTTGACACAGCAAATGTATATACTCGTATATGCATGAGACTTCCTGTTGCCTCACAAAGGCACAGCACCAAAGTATTTTGGAGTGAAACAACTATAACACTATATTTGTTTCCCAGGTCTTTCAATTCAGAGTTGAACAGATCGACATCAACATCAACAACTTTCACAAGCAAAGCTTCGCCCCGGCCATACTTCCACGCCAGCCGTCTAGCTCTATGCGAGGGCCCTGGCAGTTGTGGTGTGGGCATGGGAAGCAGTTCAAGACCGAAGATATCAGTGAAAGAGAACATGCATGGACATGTTCTGAACGAGGACAGTGGTTGGGTCAATTCACCATAAGTATAGTTTGCATGCCCTCAAAAAAAGGACTGGAATTGTGATTATAAATAACCCCAACATTCATGCATAAAGAGTTCACACGCAGCACGTACCATTTTGATCTTCTCATCGTTGGGTTGCAAAAGACTCTAACACGTGGTGAAGACCACAGGTCAGATATAGATAGGTGCACAGAAACTCCATAAGCCCCAGAGCTTCAATGCGATGCCCGGACTATAGCTTGGATTGATCCACGTGGATTTCCACATGGCCTGGCTCCCCAAAACAGCACTGTTGCACTGCAGGGGTCGATCCATCCACCAAACCCATACCCAACAAACCAAACCACAATACCAGACTATATAGAGAGCCATACAGAGGGTGTATACTTGAACTCACATAGAAAACTGAAGGAAGAGTGAATTCTCGATCCCTTTGTGCTCAGGTCGCTATTTGCGACTTTTTTTTCTGAGTAGGCTTCTCTGAGGCCTGCTCTGCGGCTGCAGGGTCGGAAGGGCGTCGAGAGGATTTCCCCTTTCTCTCCTTCTTACCCTTAGCAGCCTTTGAAGGCTTCGACTTCCCGGATTTGTTCTTGGCCTTGGCCTTTCCTTTGGCCTTCTCACCATTCCCGCTCTCAGTCTTGTTCTTCTTGTTCTTCTTGTTCTTCTTGTTGGTCTTGGTCTCCTTCGCCAGTGTCCTGACCAGGCTATATATACAGCTGTCAGTCGAGGGGGAATATCGCAAAGGGCTTGAATTGTAAGGTTGTAAGGTTCGTGAATGTTGTTGACTCTTTTCCATGATTGAAATATATCGAAACCATTGGCCTGTAACGTGCCTCAAGTGGGATAAGGGCCGAGCACCTCGCAATGTTGCAATCAAATCAATTGTTTTGGCGTGTGTGCGAGGCACACGTATATGATGTTGAGTCCCAGTTACTGGTCTCTCACTGCATTCTTTTCCTGAACAATCTCATCCAAAAGCCTTAGCTTCATGGCATATGTATGGACGCCTAATGATTTGGACATGCAAACAAATAAAGGCAAATCATTTCTCCCCCTGTCCAGCGTGTCCTAACGAACGGGCGGCGGCGTGCGAAACGACCTGTACACCATGTACACCAAATATGGGCCGGTCTTGTCGGCATGGATGGTCTCACCACCATCTCGGATGTTCCTGAAGCCAGATTGTCCTGGGAAGGAGATGAAGTATATGACTTGGTCAAACACACCAATTATGGTATATCGATATTTACAATGGAGATCCAAAAAAAACTAGATAAGAACAAACATGTCCTCATTTGTTTTTGCATCCACACATGCATTCAAGAATCCTTTGTGTCTTTGAATCAGGGCACCCTCAACAAATGCAGGAGATATGGTTTCGTTGGCCGCGTAGAGGACTATGAGCTTCTCCCACTTGTCTGATGCATGGCGATACCCAAATTTGGGGTTGTAGAACCGAAAGTGGGCACAGTGCGTGTAGCCAACCTTGAAAATACAAGGGGTTTGAGCTGCCAACACCTTGTCGACAGCTTCGTAGCAATGCTTCAAGATTTGCCCGGCTAGGAGACATGGTTTTGGAGGCAAATCATACGTAAGCATAGGGTCCTGCTCGATTGCTTCAAAGCAAGCCTGGGTCCTTTGGAGGGACAGCGTCTCCTGGCTCAGGACATTCTGCCAGCAATAGCGCTGCTTGAGTCGGGAGGCTCTTCCTGCCGGGCAGGAGTGGGGAGGAGCAGCAAGGCAAACCCTCCAGAGGAACCATCTTTTGGCTTTGTGAAACCTATACCCTTTGAAATTGCTCAAGGTTGCAGGTGTGTTTGTCATGTACATGGAGCCTGGCCTGGTAAATCTTCTAGAGGCTTCGAAACAGCAGCGCTTGTTGCCTGACCAAAGGAAAGGGGGGCTCAACTTCAGAACCTCATGGCATGATTTCTCCAGGGGGTCTTGCACTCCACAATTTGGGCCAACACGGAAAGCGCATGAACATTTGTCCAATCCATATTGAATTATGTTGGGCCACGTTGACTTGGGATGACTTGGGTGTCTCGCGCCTCCCGGTTGTATTTGATAAGCTCCCGAATCCACTCGTCCACGTCGTCGTCGGATTCGTCAAGGCCACCGCCAACCATGACAAAAGAGACCACAGCGTATGCATGGCCATACCCCCGGACCATGCACTTCCCATGTGAATTGGTTTGAGGAGAAAATTGTGTTGATCGAGCTTGCTGCTCCAACTCGATTCAACTTGATTTAGTTACAATGGGAACCAAACCCGTATATCAAAAAGATCGACCCTCAATCATTTCAAAAGAACTACCAATGTGCGAGTGCAAGATTGTGTCATATAAGCTATATTATTCGATCAAGCAACGCGGTCAGCCTTGCGCTGGCAACCTTCCCATCCTTGTGGTCGAGCTTGAGTTCCGTCAGCTGAGAACCAAGCTGTTGAAAGCTGGCCGACATCTTGGTCGCCAAGGGCTGCAAAGATTCAGACAACCTCAAGTAAGCGATATAAGCCACAGCGATACTCTGGCCCACGAAGGAATGTGAGGTATATAGGAACATTGTGGTATAAGTGCAGGTTGTTTCTTTGAATATACTCTTTGGACCCCATGCAGCCACAAAGCTTCATTGAAGCATCGTCAGATCGTTTTGCAAGTTCCTCAATCATTTTGTTGAGGGTTTGCTGCCTCTTTTCCAAGGATCCCATGTAAGTCTCCAAGTCGACCACGGGCTGGCCAGGGACAAAGCTATATGATTTGGAAGAACATGTCCCGATTTCTTTTGTATATATATAGAATTCACTCATTACAAAGAATGACTCATTTGTTTCATATCGTTGAAATTGACCTTTGCAGATTGCCACGGCCAGCCTGGGACCCCACCACCTCTGGTTTTGGCGCAGCATCTGGGATCTTCAGGAAGTCATCCTTAAGTCCGGCTGGCTGCGTCTTGGAGGTCTTGTCCTCAGCAAGTGGGAGATTTGGGTCATGGCGCTGACAGAGTTCAATCATAGACTGAAGTCAACAAGGGTTCATGAGATAGACTGGTAGTATAGTTACAGCTGACAGCTTCCAGTGGTTCAACTGCAAGGTTATGGTCAAGTGTCTTCCAGCTCCGTCTCTTCTGTTTGGCGAGTGGTTTCCTTCTTCTCGAGCTTGGTTTGATCAGCAGTAATCACGTAGTATTCATTGATGCTGTCGTTATACTGCCACGGCCTGCATGCAGTCAATGTGTCCGGGTATACCTTTGTTAAGGCCCAAGTACATAATATATGCACACATGG